GTCTTCTGATAGCCCAGATTTGTCAATGAACTGGGGAGAACCTTGGATGTGGTTGGTATGTATCCTGCTCCCTCCACAAAGATGAATTTCCCCTAAGAATCAAAAGGGGGGGAGGTAAGAGGGTGCAAGGAGAGAGCTGTTATTGTTAAGGTGAGAGGGGTCACAAAAATGGAGAGATATAAGGATTAAAGTGTTACTAAACCCCGGACCCTGCATTTACTATATCTGATCTCCCACAGTACACACAACATGGAAATGCAATTATTTTAGTAAATATAAACTGCTAAATATCTTTTCTCATCAGCATTTGGAGCAGTCTTGTGACTTCTATCAGTGTCCATCAGCACACTGGTTAAAGCTTGCAGGAGGAGTTTTTATTCTCCTCTGATTGTCCTATAAGGCTGCAGGACCCCTGACCCTCTGTATGGACAGCGCTGATTGGTCCTGTCCTGATCACATGCACTCTCCCATGAAAAAAAAACCTCTCTAGCAATACACACCAAACTGAGCATGTGCAGAGTAACTTCAAACCTCTGTTCTATCAGGAGATATTTAGGGGACAATGGAAGAAGGGGAGGACCAGAGAAGAGAGGATCACACCTCCTTTTTACATAATGTGGGGAATTAATCCCTTAGGTTCCACAGTGAGTATAACGAACACGCTTTACTGTATATACAGACTGATTTTACTGTTGTGGGTTTAGTAACACTTTAAAGGTGGAGGAAAAGGAATGACTGGGAGGTAGGTGGTGTAAGGTAAGATTTGGTGGGTGCCTGTCCATGGGTGGGAGGGACCCCTACAGATATTACCCTTCTCCGGGTCAGTAGTGGCATGGCTCCATAGATCAATACAGTTATTGTTGGTTAGTAATATACCATTTATTATGTTGAGACTTTAAAAATACAATTTTTTAATTCTGTGTGCAAAAATGATATGACATCTGTTTATAAACTGATCAAAACCTAGTTCTGTGTTAAGCGTTAATTGCCTGCCTTATTTTCCTTATTTTTACGATTGTGTGAGGAGAGCAAAATGCCTGGAAGTCCCCCATTTGTAGTGATAGAGTCACCATATGTCAATTTATTAAGCCTCTCAGAACTTTTGCTTAGCTGTCTGTAAGCCTTTTGGCTGACGTACATCTGGAATCCGTTCCCAGAAAAGTTATTTTGAGGTCAGTGCAAAAATAAAAATCTGCTCTTCACTACCCAGAATTTTCCACTGTCCTTCTAGTAACAAAAATATAAAAAAAATAAATACATGGAATTGTGCAGCATGTGTGTTATTTGGAGGACAGCTCCATGCTAATGCACGAATATGGTTCGGGAGAGGGGAACTTGGGTTTGCTTGACACAGTCTGTAAACTGTTTGTTTAGTATCTTCCTGATCAGTCATTGGAGTTATTTTAAATCATCCGAAATGGCAGTTTCGGCCTAGATCAGTGGTCTCCAATCTGCGGCCCTTTGATTGCCTTTATCTGGCCCTTGGGGCACTATTCCTCCCACTGGGCACCATTCCTCCCACTAACACCAACATTGGGACATGATTTCTCCCACTGATATAATCTACAGAATATTATTCTTTCCACTAACGCTAAAGATGGTGCACTTTTCCTCCCACTGGTACCATCAATGGGGTACTATTCCTGCCACTGACATCGACAATGGGGCATAATTCCATCCACTTATATAAAATATAGAGCACTATTACTCCCGCTAAAACTAAAGATGGGACACTTTTCCTCCCACTGATGCCATTGATGGGATACTTTTCCTCCCACTGATGCCATCGATGGCACACTTTTGCTCCCACTGATGCCATCGATGGGATACTTTTCCTCCCACTGATGCCATCGATGGCACATACTTTTGCTCCCACTGATGCCATCGATGGCACCCTTTTCCTCCCACTGATGCCATCGATGGGATACTTTTTCTCCCACTGATGCCATCGATGGGATACTTTTCCTCCCACTGATGCCATCGATGGGACACTTTTCCCTCCCACTGATGCCATCGATGGGATACTTTTCCTCCCACTGATGCCATCGATGGGATACTTTCCCTCCCACTGATGCCAATGATGGGATACTTTTTCCTCCCACTGATGCCATCGATGGGATACTTTTCCTCCCACTGATGCCATCAATGGGATACTTTTCCTCCCACTGATGCCATCGATGGGATACTTTTCCTCCCACTGATGCCATCGATGGGATACTTTTCCTCCCACTGATGCCATCGATGGGATACTTTTCCTCCCACTGATGCCATCGATGGGATACTTTTCCTCCCACTGATGCCATCGATAGGGGGCACCAGTCCTTCCACTGACACCAAAGTTTGGGCACTATTCCTCTCACTGACACCAATGATTTGGCACTGTTTCTGCTGCATTTTCCACACTCCCACTGGTTACAGTCCGGCCCCCCTAAAGTCAGAAGACCAGAAAACTGGCCCTTTTTTTAGAATGTTTGGAGACCCCATGCTAGATAATTGACCCATGTGGTCCCATATACTGCTTGTAATAGTATACCTGTTATTGTCAATGGTTCGAGAGGCATTAGTTATTTTTCTTTGGGAGAGTTTTGAAGTTCTAAGTTTTGAATAGAGGGCAATAAAGGTAGAACCTGTGTCAGATTTTTATAGTTGGTGTCCCTTCTGGGGGGGATAATCGCCCTCTCTATTGTCTTCGTGCCCATTGAGGAGAGTGATGGCAAATCCAAAATTTTACAGTTGTCAGCGGACAGGAATAGAGGGGAAATCTTCCCATTTGGACACCTATTTTGGTGACAGCTGTAATAGATTTATTCGCACTTCCTGTTGTTTCTGGGAAAGGAAGTAAAGGGAACGCTTCCCAAATGGGACACAGCAAAAGGGAACAGAATTTATTTAAAGTGGTCCCCCCCCCCCCCCCCCAGTAATGAAAGCAGTTTGGAAAAGAAGTAAGTATGAGAATTCACTCTCCTAATCAGCATTGACTATTTTGAATCCTTATCCTGCTAGCATTAGTAAATAGATAGGAAAGTATATCATGTTTACTTGTTTTAAATTGTTTTTTACATTTATTTAGTTGCTTCTTGGTTTTAATACCTAGGCAAATGATGTAATACATCCCAGGAGTCTTCAGGAGGGGGAGGGGTTTTCCCACCTAAGCATGCTCTCCTGCCTTTGTTGCCTCAGTAGTCAGTTGACATTTAAGTTAGCTATATGTGGATCGAAATCTGGCCAGTTCAGCAGGGACCATCCGAGATTCCATGTATGAGCATGCCGATCGGTACCCAATTTGATCCATCGATCGACTTTGGTACAACCACCCTGTCAGGTTTATTTTCATGCAGTTACTGCCAGCGGCTATAGCCACTAGCAGTAATCCTTGTGTTCTGCCAGCTGGGAAGCCCCTTCTCCAGTAGGACATAATAGCACTGCGGGAGGGAATCAAGTGATTTATTTTCTTTCTAATATGGAAAGAAAATCGAATCTTCTATGGGCTGTCTTAGGATGCATTCATATGAACTGTGAAGGGGTGGCCTAGATGTGTTTTTGCATCTTTTGCAAGGCCCCCCCTTTACCTTCAGGTCCAGAAATGTGGCCTAATATACAGTATGTTTTGTGTTTATTGGCTATAATGTTGTGTTTTGATGTCCTAAATATTACCTGTATCATTCAGGAAAGGCCCACCATTGATTCTTTCTATGTGCTGTTCATGTGAATGTACCTTTATGGTGCAGGGCATGGCATCAGACAAATGGTTCACATCCGGGGGCGGACTGGCAACTCTTGGGGCCCCGGGGCAATAATGGATCATGGGACCTCTATGTCCTCACCCATACTCATACCCAGGGGCGGACTGACCATTTGGAAACTCGGGCACTGCCAGAGGGCCCGGGGTCAGTAGGGGGCCCCAAGAGATGCCCCTGGTACCTTTTTCATAGGCTTTTTTGAGTTTGGGCAAGGACACGGGGCCCCATGATTCCCTATTGCCCGGGGCCCCATGAGTTTGTCAGTTCGCCCCTGCCGTACCACACCCAAAACGGCCGACCAATTAACCCACTAACGGTGCAAAAATCGGCCGATTTTTTTTTTTTTTCCTGCCGAAGAATCGGCCGTTTTTTGACCTGTCTATGGCCTGCATTACTCTCCATACGAAACACCTTTAAAATAGTTCCTATTACAGTATGAGTAATTGTGAACTAATCCAAACTGGAAATGCCTAATCTTCAAAGTTTTTTTTTTTTTTTTTTTTTTCTTCCAAAATTTCTTCCCAACTGTTTTAATTAAAGCTTCTCAGTGTTCTCGTCTTTGACAAAAAAACGATCTCAGCCAATCAGTGTCTGAGCCAATTTCCTGGGGAGTTTTTAGCTGTTTGACCTAGAGGGCAATTTCATGTGTTTTATAGCTCCATAGTAATGAAAACCACATGGAAAATACACAGTGCGTGTAAACGTTGCCCAGTGTCATGACACTTTTTATTTCATATTATTTTCAACCAGCTCTTGGTAATAATAGCACAGGGCCAGGTTGTACTGTAAAAACCTAAAAAAAAAAAAAAAAAAAAAACGGCAATAAGGCATTCAGTCTTCTTGAGCAATAAGGAGCCTATTAAGGAGGAGACGACTAAGAGAACTCTGGGAAACCTGCCTGCTACTTAACGCTGATGTGTTTTCCAGACCATGCTCTGTCCCAGATACATAAAACCTCCTATACAAAAGCTGAAGGAGTGCAATGTCCACAGCCACCAATCAGACATCAGCTGCCTTTTATTGCAGATAAAGTGATTACCCGACTGGGGCCGGGAGCGGCTCTGCATTCATCAGATGTACATCATTAAATGTATTTTTTTAATGAAAGCAGATCAAGTACTTGAATGTGACTTTATCTTGCGATCCCATGTAGAGCAGAGCTCAGACTGGAAGAGGGAGGAGGTAGCACTTGGAGCTAGACAGTTGTGTCTGCAGTGCAGAGAGTATGATGATAGGAGAAGAGAGCAGAGTGACAGGGAGATGAGCGTCAGTCTGCTGCTTCTCCACTGTCTGACAGGCTAGGGGAGGGATAAGTCCCATGTGCAGGGGCGGACTGACCATTTGTAAACTCGGGCACTGCCCAGGGTCAGTAGGGGGCCCCATGAGATGCCCCTGGTACCTTTTTCATAGGCTTTTTTGAGTTTGGGCAAGGACCAGGGGCCCCATGATCCCTTATTGCCGGGGGCCCCATGAGTTGTCAGTCCGCCCCTGCCCATGTGTTTTATTTAGTGTTACTAAACCCACATCAGTAAAATCAGTCTGTATATGCGGTAACGCATGCTTGTTATACTCACTGTGGAACCTAAGGGGTTATTCCTCCACATTGTGTAAAAGGGATGTTTGAGCCTGACTTCTCTATTCCTCCCCTTCTCATATTGTCCCCCTATCCATCTGCTGATAGAATAGAGTATTGGGGGCAAGTTGCACATGCTCAGTTTGGCGTATATTGCTAGAGAGGTTTTTTTTTTTTTTCTCTTGGGAGGATCCATGTGATCAGCACGGGGCCAATCAGCGCTGTCCAGACAGAGGGTCAGGGGTTATGCAGCCTCATAGGACAATCAAGGAAGAATGAAAACTGCTCCTAAAAGCTTTAACCAGTGCTCTGCTGGATACTGATATAAGTCACAAGACTGCTCTAACTGCTGATAAGAAAAGGTATTTAGTAGTTTATTGAACAGCTAATGACCTGCTCTGGGATGAACGCTAGTGTATGAATCCTGTAAATTATTAAATAGTGATTTAGTCCCCGGTCACACTGGATGCAAATTTGCATGGGTGCTCCAGTTTCCTCCCACACTCCAAAGACATGCAGGTAGGTTAATTGACTCCTGTCTAAATTGTCCCTAGTATGTGTATGTATGAATGGGAGTTAGGGACCTTAGATTGTACGCCCCTTGAGGGTTAGGGACTGATGTGAATGTACAATATATATGTAAAACGCTGTGTAAATTGATAGTGCTATATAAGTACCTGTAATAAATAAATAATAAAAAAAAATTGTATTCAAATCACTTTAGAAAAAAAAAAAGGTGTTTAGGCATAAAAGGCATACAATTGCTGAACCTGAAGTGATGCACCAGCGTGCGCTCCACCGGCCGGATGTGACGTCACCAGAGGCTCCCACCTGACGGGGCGAAACGAGCCAGGTGGGAGCCTCTGATGACATCACATCCGGCCGGTAGAGAGCACGCTGGTGCGTAACTGAGTTTGCCAATTTGTATGCCTTTTATCCCCAAAAACTAGGCGATCTGGTGGCATCTGTACACAGATGGTGTACGGAGCACCCCCCAAAATGTAATTTTCCTGCTTGTGTGATTGGCTCAGAAGTCTTCATTAACATACAAGTCAGACTTTGATCATCCTCTGCAGCAAAAATGTCCGTTTTGTGACCTGAAAGTGACCCTGCCACTTTCTTAATTAGAACCCTGCATCTGCGGCAGCTGATTAGTAATTATAAAGTCACTCCCATTCACATTCACTGACAATAAAACCGCTATTTCTTCAGAATACCATAAGGTAGGAATCTGCAATAAAGTTTGTTAAAATCCTTGCAATGTACATAGGTCACCCAGAGGAGTTTTTTTTTCTCTCAAAAAAGTGGACTTACTCTTTAAGTGCTGCAAGGCTACTTTTCAGGAACCAATGTCTTTTTTTTGCCATTATCATAAAAAGTACAAAACCAATGAACATTCTTTTACCCTAATGACAGGTGTAGTACAAGTGAACTGTTTTCTTTTTCATTCCTATATATATTTTCCCAGAGTTTACTTTTACACATCCAGTGCTTCCTGTAAAGAATGTCCATGAATACGTTTGAGGTTTTCTTACGCTTTTTGTGGAAAGAATGTTTTCCTTCTTGCGCCGTATGTGGGTCACGGCGGCAGACTGAAGGCAGCCCATAAACCCCCATTCGTCAGGACATATTTCTTTGGGCCATGAGAACATTTATTATTTTTTCCTTTTTTTTTTCTGTCGACTTAGCTGTTGGTTTACAGCCATAAATAAGTGGTCTGTGGTTTTTCCTCCCTCCACACAAACGTAACTGATTTTATTTTTTACATGTGAGCAGCAGTGTGTGGTATTTACATGGTCCAATTATCTCGTAAATCCACCACGATCGGCCCTGCGCAGTTTACAGGTCATGCCTCTTTTCCTGACACTGAATATTTCTTATGATTTTTTTTCCCAGTCTGTATTAAAGTTTATTTGCTGATGGAGCTTAGGGTGTTGGAATCAACTGTCACGTGGCTGAAAGTGTTCTTCTATGCTGCTGTTTGCCAGTAGAAAATCACAGCAAGATGTTCTCAGTCTAATGGCCAGCCTCAAATCTACACACTTCCTCTGAGCCCAGGTTGTCCTGGACTTGGAAAACAGAAAGGAGAAAGGTGCCTCTAAAGCTGGCCATACATGGATCGAATTCTGAAAGAATTTTCTTTCGAAAATCTTTTCTAAGAAGTTTCATTCGAATTTTGCACCATTAGTGGGCCACAGCAACAGACAATATTTGAGCGGCCATCGAATTTGAGTGATCGGGCATCTTGGAAAGTTATTTTTGAAAAACGAACAAATTTTTAATCAGTGATGGGAGAATCGTGTGAGAAATGAAAAAGAAATGAGCATGCACTGTGACCTGGAAAGAAAAGAAAATTTTTGGCCACAAATTCTTTTCTGTATCAACATGAGATGAAATCAAGGGCTTGGTTGATTGATTTTCGAAATCAATGGTGGCACCATCGGATTACAGAATGCAAGACATTTCCAATTTTTCTAAAGAGAATTCGTTCAGAATTCGACCCATGTATGGCCGGCATTAGTGTAGACTTTAACCCCTTGATGCTGACGTAACGCAAATATGTGACCTCACAGAACTGGGTTTTTTTCCGTGGGGCCGCATATTTGCGTACCTGTCTTTCTGCTGGGAGCAGGCCAACAGCACAAAGACTGCGGTGGCACTGGGTACCGTTCTAACAATTGGGACCCGGAACTCCCGATTCTGGGTCACATGATCGCTGTGATAACTTCTGATTGGCTATCACAGTGATCAATCATTGTACAGCCTGGCCCCCTTGTTTTTTCTTCTCTCTATGAATGGAAGAGAGAGAGAGACATTGTATATCTCTAACTCCTGGCATACAGGGAGAAAAAAAAAATTTTGTAAAAAAAAAAGATAAATATTAAAAAATAAAATAAAAAATAAGGAACAAAATACCTAGATCAAGGTTTGATCTAGTTCAGTGCCAGGGTAAGTGTTTTGGTCAAGGTCAGGGTCAAAGGTCAGGGTCAAAGCTCAGGATTTAGAAAAAAAAAATTGCTGGCAGTGTGTTTTAGGGGAAAAAACAAAAAACAAAATGCGCACTATTGTTTCTAGGCTGTACTACGGGTACAAACAACAAATAACATACACATATATGGTATCGCTGCGATTGGCAAAAGCTGGAGAATTTATTTTGGGCTGTTCTTTGTGGTAGGTTATGATAGTAACAAGAAAAACACAGCTAAATAAAAAAAAATATTTTTTTTTACTATTTTGGGCCAATCAATGAATCCTGAATGATCTTGAAAGCATCTTAAATCATGCCAAAAGAAGCTCATCAGTTCAAGCCCAAAGCCATCAACACAGGCCCTATAGTCACCATGTGAGCTGCTTAAACTAAATTGAAAGGTAAGTTCTCTGCAAAAGAAGGGATTTTATACTTGCCTCTCCAGTGGCTTGTATCTCATGCCTTCCTTTTTCCATTCCAGCTCTTCAGCCTCCATCAGACTTCTCAGCATTCTGCACCTCGGGGAATGGTGGCGTGCCTGTGTCCCTTTTCTTGCATTGTGGTTCCATGCTCCGGAACCACAATTCAAGAAATCACTACAGGACTGAGTAGTACAGTGGGGAAAATAATTGTTTGATCCCCTTCAGATTTTGTAAGTTTGACCACTTACAAAGTAGTGATGGGTCTATAATTTTTATCATAGGTGTATTTTAAATGATAGAGACAGAATATCGACCAAAAATCCAGATAAAACACGATACAAATGTTATAAATTGAGTTGCATTTCAGTGAGTAAAGTCCTCATGCACACGGGATGTTTTTACAGCGGCTGTTTTTGGCTTTTGACGTTTTTTTTTCAACAACCAGTAAACCCCCCGGCATGTTATCCTGTGTGTCCATACACACATAGACTGTAATCAACATTTTTTGGCTGGAAAAAAAAACCCAGAACTAGTGGGGTTCTAGAGGAGTTTTTAGCTTGTAAAAATGCTCTAACGCTGAAAAATGGGGTAAAACAGGGTTTTTGAACATCTTTTTGACACAAAAAAAATGAAAAAAAAAATAAAAACAACAATGTGAAAACACTAAACTCTAATACAAACATGCTAAAAAAAACGGAAAAACTCACAATTTTAACGTGACTTTACACAGCTAACATTGCCAGTGTTATTAAACCACCCAGTGTGCATGATCCCCAAGCAAAACATGACTTAGTACTTGGTGGAGAAACCCTTGTTGGCAAGGTAAAACGTTTCTTGTAGCTGTTAACCAGTTTTGCACACAATTCAGGAGGGATTTCTTTACAGATCTTCTCTAAATCCTTACGGTTTCTTGGCTGTCGCTTGCCAACTCAAGGTTTCAGCTCCCTCTATAAATATTTTATAGGATTGAGATCTGATTTGAGGCCACTCCATAACCTTAATATGCTTCTTCTTGAGCCACTCCTTTGTTGCCTTTGCAGTATGTTTTGGGTCATTGTCCTGCTGAAAGACCCATCTTCAGTGTTCTGGCTGAAGGAAGAAAGTTCTCATTCAAGATTTACAATACATGGCCCCGCCCATTGGCCCCTCAATGTGGCAAAGTCTGCCTGTAACTTTAGCAGAGAAACAGCCCCAAAGCATAATGTTTCCACCTCCGTTCTTGACTGTAGGGATGGTGTTCTTAGGGTCATAGTCAGCATTTTTCTTCCTTCATACACAGCGAGTCAAGTTAATGCCAAAGAGCTCAGTTTTGGTTTCATTTGAGCACAGCACTTTCTCCCAATCCTTCTCTGGATAA